GACAGAAGAGTAGAAGGGAGTGACTTTACGCCACGCCCCTTCCACAGTGCTCTCCACTGACCTGCGTGGCTAATCCTCAATTCAGGTCCTGCTTCAGGGATTCAACTTTCTTGGGCTGAGAAAGGACTGCTGGGAAGAGGGGAAAGTGTGGAAGATTGGAATTCCTTGAGAAAGCAGGGTACTGGATCCAACCTTGTAATGCTCCCGCCCCTACTTGAAATTCAGTTCAGATGTCTTCAGACATAGTAGAAGGAAAGAGAGTATTGGGTGGGAGGAGCTGGTGTGTTGTTCATGGCATTTTCTTCTGCAGAACAAACAAGCATGTATGATGGGGAGGTCATAGCTTCTAGTGTAAAGAGCATATCATAAACTGGTCCCATTGGGAGCTGATAAGGGCCCTGTTGTTAGTCTGCCTTCTGTGCTCTCCCCTGGCTGTGTGTTTAGTAAGATGGTCTGGTCAGTGTGTTTTATAATTGCCAGACCCCCAGTGGAGGCAGGGATCTCCCACCATCAGAACCTACCCCCAGCCACCAATCAGCTGGCCAATGGGAGGGACTTACCAGGAGAAAAGAGAAGGCCTAGGCCTCATTGCCTGCATTGCACAGGAAGTGATATCATCACAGCAGTGACATCCAGGTAACATTTTGATATTTGGATAAAAACTCTATAGTAAAAGGTGGTTTTGCCATAGAATTTTTGCCCAGATAACAGAGCATCACCCAGATGTTTCTGGTGTGATGAAGTCATTTCCTGTGCAGTGCCTGCAATGAGGGCTTTCTCTCTCTCCTTGTAAGTCCCCCCATGCCCTGCTGATTGCTTGGAAGGACTGAGCAACCATAGTGGGTTCTAGCCCTGTTGCCTCCCTGCTGGTCATGGGTATTAGAGTGCTTCTACCCTACTTATTGTTTGGAGCACCTTTTCTGTGTTGGAATGCCAAGTTTTACAAACCACATTCTGTGGGGAGATCTGGACCTAGGGCTGCTGGGAGGATGTGAGAGAGCAACATAGTGGGAACCCTGGTCACCCCTGGGGCCCATGAAGCTGGGAGAGTTATGTGATTTGTTTTGGTCCCATATTTTGGTTGAGTCTGGATAGTGTGTGGGACACAGGCAATGTTTGGCCAGAGGGACCATGGTGAATCTTGGCAGTCCTGTCTAGGCTTGTGGCTATAAGATTTTTTTTGTTATCCACCAACTAGGTGCACTGTGCAGTTCTTATTAGATAAGACACTGCTCACTCTTTCTTGCAGTCTGGTGGTACATTGTATGTAGCCTTGTTCAGTTTACAGTGAATACACATGCATCCCACATGGACCTGTGTACATCTGGTTTGTAAGAAAGAACAAACATGCATTCATGTTACAAGTGAAACTGGAGACCAGTAGCTAGATAAATGTGCAGCGGTACATGCTTTTTTATACAACATGGGAATCATTTAACACATATGTAAAGAAAAATAAAAGCCCTGTAGACATCACCCCTCCATGCACTGACTGAATGCACAGAGACCAAGAGCAGGTACAAGGACACTGTGCCCACCTCCTGCCTCCATGTGACCACTACCTCCTAAGCATGGCACCTGTGCACAGAGAAAGTGTCTGTGAATATGCTCCCTCCCCATGATCAGCAGCATTGAGAAAGTATCACTCCCAATCACAGAGAGGATGCATAAGTGTGGACACTTCCTCCATGTACTTGCATTGTGCAGACTACCCAGTGATTGTGTGAGGGCAGGAGATGCCTGATATTCCTCCCCATATTCAGTGAATGCATCGAGTCTTAAGTGTACACTGTATGCAGGTTTTAATGTGAGCCTGTTCACATTACAGTGAATACATGTGCAAGCTATGTTCAGTGCATACTTAAGCTCTCTACACATGACCTTCCATGTGTTAACTGAATGCATGGAATGGGTGGTGTCTATAGTTATTAGGGATGCCAGACCCCTCCAGTGGGGGTGGGGGGTCCCCCGCTCCCAAGCCCCACCTCTCCACTGCCGATCAGCTGGCCAGTGGGGGAGACTTAATGCAAAAATAAGGAGTCTCACCCAATGTTTTAGCAATGTCCCCAACATGACTTCATCATGACCCAGAAGTGACATAGGCATGTCGAAAACACTGGGGAAATGGTCTCATGTTTGGGCAAAACCTCTGTGGTAGAAGCTAATTCTACCATAGAATTTCACCCAAAAAAACCAAAGAGTTGCCATGACGTGTCTATGTCATTTCCAGGTCACGTTGGAAGTCACATTGGGGACATCACTGAAACATCGGGTGAGACTCCCTGCTCCCAGAAAGCCCACTCCCCCCCCCACCAGCTGCCCAGAGGGACCTGGCAAACCTTCCAGTTATACCATGGAATACTGAATTTGAATCCCCCTTAGGACCAAGCTAGATAAAACATGTTAAATCTTGATTAAGATCTCCCATGGTTATTTTTTTACAAGCTAACTGGCAGCCCCATACAGCTGTTCTAAAGATCAGGAATAGTCACTGGGGGGAATTAATAGCAGTTGGGTTTAACCTTCTTATCCCATTTTTCATATGTAATGTAAATTAACTTTCTGAAACTGCAATTAATATTATTGGCACAAATTTCTGACATAGATCTTTGCCTTTTGATGTTCTAGGCTCCACCCTTCAACCTGATCAGGAGCACATGGGCTACACTGATATTGTTACCCCAGGCCTTTAAAAACTCCCTGGTCTACTTGTGCCTATTTCACAGGGTTGGTGTGAGGCTAGGTGGTCTTTGAGGTGGCTGGCTCTCTCTGTGAGTTGATTGGTACCTTCTGTGTTTTTGTTTTAGTGGGATTATAGTCAGTGACAGCCCCAGGTTTTTTTGCCCACTAGGTGAGGATGGGGGTGGATGCTGGAGCCACAGCAGGCGGACTGAGGGAGCGAGCTGCAAATGTATGAGGGGGAGCGGGATCACTCGAGGGGAGGGGCCCTGTGCCAGGCTGCAGAAAGAGCTCCAAAGAGGGCGGCACAGGGCAAGCGGCACTTTCCTGTCATCCCAAACTGTTCCCTGTGCCTGTCCCTCCTGCCTCCTTCTTTTTCTGTATGGGGGGCTGCAAAGAGGGACGGGGACGGAGCAAGAAGCTGGCAAGGAAGGCTTCCTGTACATCCACTTTCTGACATTTTCCCACTGGATTGCTCTACAATTTTCCAACTGTATATCAGCAATTTCTTTTGTAGCCCTGCATATCTTTATCACATTTGTGGGCTTTATGGGGATTTTTTGCCACTTCTACAGCCATAAAAAAGGAGTCTTAAAAATGCTAAGTATTATTAAAATGATTTATGGTCTTTTAAAAACAATCCTCCTTCAGCGCTTAGAAACTAGATATAATGCTGGTTTACAGCCTGCATTCCAGTCTTTCTTTGTGAAAATGTAATTGGTAATACAAGGGGAAAATGCATTAAAATGGCAACTCTAAAATGTGCTCAATGAAAAAAAGCAATAAATATTGGCCAGTAGATGCCAACTAATAATGCCTATAAAGAGCCCTGACCAAGTCACAGGTTAGGGGCTGGGATAAGGGAGGAACATGCATATTTTTGTCAGTTTCCATTCATCCAAACTGCTACAAAAAAGTTATCAGAGAATCTTTCCCCTCTTCCAACTTGTTCTTTCTCAGAACTGATTCAAACAGTACTTCCCACATATGGAGTCCAAAAAATATATATGTGGAGTTGGATTGACCGGCTTTGCTCCTGGGGTTCAAAAATTGAGTCAGAAAAGCTTACTAACTCACTTATCTCCATGGTAGGATGAGGTCTACTAGGGGCTGCTTCCACAGATTGCTGTATATTGTGCTAAAGCAGTCATTCACAATTGGACTGGCTTGTCCACCCAGGACTTATCACTGTAGTAGCTGAAACCAGTTCCTGGATTTGAGGAGAGAAGATTCAGATATGCATTTTCCCAGGCCCAACACCCCTGAATCTAGGGATGCCAGGCCTTTACCTGGCATCATTAGAAGCTTTGGACATGGAGCAAAGGATGATGTCATGTGACATCATATCCAGGTAAAAACCCAAGTGTGACATCACACGTCACTGGACAGCCTTTATGGCCTGATATTTCTCCTGCAGGTTCAGGGATCAAAGGCAGGAGGGTGGGCCCAACCAGCAGGAAACTTCTTACCACCAGCTGACTTTCTGAAATATTTTGACCCCTCCTCTGTGATATCCCTATCTGTGGTAATTGGGCTATCAAATATCAATGGCTGTGTCTCCATTTCATCTTTACCATAGGAATGAATGGCAACCATTCAGTTATTTATTTGCATTGTTTACCATGAAGGATGACAGAGAAGAATGATGCAAAAAATAAAAACTGCCCTTTTGTTTTATTTTATTAGTGTACCTTTGCAATACCCTGTCCTTTGCAATACCTGAGTCTGTGCGTTGTAGAAATAAACTTTGTTTAACTTGAGAAAGTCTGCACAAGTCCTCACCCACCTGCCTGGCTGCTTGGTGCTCACTATAGGGCAATACGTCTGTGAGGTTGGCTATGGACGACCCATGTGAAAGAGACAGGGGGAAGGATTTTACCCAGAGTGGTGGTGGTGGTAGCAATGGGGGGAATGACAAATTGGTGACTAGTCTTGCCTCACAATTTGACAAAGACCACAATGTGTTAACTAGGACCAGTTAAGTAAGGATGCTCAGATAATCCACCAGGTTAGTTTACAATAGAGAAGTAGGTGTCCCACTGGTGTGGACAATCATTAACATTTTATGCCAAATGTTATATGATTTGCATTCCATCCAGCTAAAAATGGTGGTTGGATGTTAACATAACAGTGAAAAGAATAATCATAATATTTTTAAGTATTTTGGTGAACACTTTTATGCTTTATTAAACATTTGCTAAAAAAATTGCAACAGCAACTTATGATGCCTAAAGCCTTCGGAAACAATATCGGCTCTGAAAATCAGCACTTGTTCTTTATGTAGTGTAAACAGTAATGTATTTCTCATGGATTACTTGCAGGTGCTCCTTCTAGAATGGATACACGCATGAGTTCCCGGATGCCAACTCAAGTCACCAGGGTAGCGGCTATCTCTTCACCATCTGTGACGTTCATGGCAACCAATTTGGTGGATCAGACATTAACAGGTGTGTTTATGTTTCACTGTACTGATGATACTACTAAACATATGCTGCACACTCACATGCTTGAAAACAAACTGTTTCCCATGTGGCACAGGAATGGAAACTCCTTTTAATGGAAACGTTTTGAAACTGTACACATTCATCATTGTTGAAATTGCATGGAATCTATTATCATTTTGTAGCATTTGATAATGAATATGTACAAATCAAGATAGCAGTAAATTGTTTTATTCCTGTGTGTTCTTTTTTCGTCCACCTCACCTCAAATAACTCCTTCAAAAGGCTTCTTGCACCAAACATCGCTGGCACTGAATGTGTAGGCCTGGCGTGGGGTGCCAGGGAGAGGGTGGGAATCTTGCTGGTTTACCATCTACCTAGATTACCAGCTGACTCCCTGCTGAGGGTGGTTGAGGTGGGGGCAGAGTGGGCCATGCATTTCCCCAAACTGATAGTTTTTGGGGTACTTCAATGTCCATGCCGGCACTGCCTTGTCTGGTACCTCCTAAGACTTCAAGATTACCATGGCATCATTAGGACTCTCCCAAGTTGTATTGCTCCTCCCCCCCATCAGGTCTCACACTGAATCTGATCTTTTGTGCAGAAATTTATTTGGATTCAGTGGTTCTTTGTGACCCATTGCCATGGACTGATCATTATCTTGGGACGGTCAGTTTGAGATATGCCTCCTCCCTCTACAGGGGTGGGGAGCTTATTTGTGCTCACCCATGGAGACTCATGGATCCAGCTGGATTCCAGAATGCTATGCAGAATTTTTCTGGCTGTGTCAGCACCTCTCTTAATGAACTCACTGATGCCTGGAATCTGGGCCTTCAGGAGGCCATTGACCAAGTTGCCCCCTAGCACCCTCTTCACCCCCATCCTGCCTTGGCTCCCTGGTATACAGATGGGGGGGCTTCCCCTGGACCTGGGGGCTGGCAACCCTAGGTGGATTTAGCTTGGACAGTTTGGGTCATGCATAATCGTATCTTGTACTCTGACACAAGTTGTTAGTGATGCTAAATAGTATCTCCACATGATATATAGCAAGTCCAGTAAAATAGGAAGTAGCACTGTCTTCTGAAATAACATAATGTTTCCTCCTTCATATTGAGCAAGGTAACAGTATATTTTAGTGTGGTTTTTTTCTCTCCAGATTTTGGAATATAATTTCTGTTTTTGTGGCTCAGAGGTATTGCCAGGGAACGACAGTGATGTCCAGACAAGGACATAGGATATACTCATATTTATTTCCAGAGGTTTCTTTAATACAGAGATTAATCTCTCCTCATAGTCTTCTATTTACTTGGAAATAAATTCCAAGGAAACAACCATGTAAATAGATATGAGTGTTAGACTGTTAAAAAGCTCTAGGGTACTGTAATGATAGACTTCATGGGCCTTCAGTCAGGAACATACACCAACTTTGTTTCCCTGGTCACATTGGGGAAAAGTTGCAATGTGTAACAGCTGACAGCAGCATCGTGTAGCTGCATGCCTGTGTCTATCCATCTTCAGCCTTCTCATGGCTTTCTGGTGTTTTATCCAAAGTTATTCTCTCCTTGTCTGAAATCTTGGATAAAAAGATGGAGTGGCATGAGAAGGGTGGAGATGCATAGGCAGAATTCGGACTTGCAGAATACAGACCCTAGGTTCCAGGTGGAGTATGGAGATGAACAGTTTTAATTCCCCTCATAATATACAGTTGCTACGAAGTGTGAGAAGTGATGTATATACTTGGGACTGGGATATACCAGGAGTTTTGCATTTGGGGTGCCTGAGGTTAATGACCAGACTCCATCAGTTCTTTCAACTTGCTGTATTTTCTTATGTTTGTGGTAAGTGTCGATGCTACAGGAATGTTGTTCTTACTGTAACAGCTGGTTTAATCAGAAGTCAGTCTCATGAGGGGGGAGGAAAAGAAAAATAAAACTAAATACATGCCCATTCTGCACATTGTTTCTGGTGATTCCCATCCCCATTTCCAGGGGTCTTGTTGTAGAAAAAGAGCTGCCGGAGCTCATTAGCATAACTCATTAGCATAACTTATTTGCATATGCCACGCTTCCTGACATCACCGGAAGTGACAGAAGGCCACACCCCCTGACATCACCGCCCCATTTCTAAAACTGCTGCTTTTTCAGGCCAATGTCTTGGGATTTTCATGTGAAGGGTATTGGATCAGTGGCATTTCCACAGCACAGAAAAGTGTCATGCTTTTGTCTTTTTCCTCATTCTTTTTCCTCACTCATTTCTACCTTCTACTCACTCTTCACCTGAAACTATTTACTACAAGTGATGCCTGTGTCCTAGTTGTGTACAGGTTGTGATGTGCATTTAATTTGTGCCTGTTGTTGGTGATTATTACTTGTCAGATGTGCCAACATGCTGCTGACACAGCAGTGTCTGTTTCATTTGAGAGGTTGATATCGTAGCATCATTGTGCATCCTGAATACTGAAATGCCCCCCCAAAAAATTGTTTTAGCAGTTATATTATTTGTGCCAATAAAAGCATACACACTTCTGGCACCTAAATCTAAAATTGTCTTTTGGGGACTGTGGGGAAGAAAAAGGGTATTGTGAAGACTTTACTACTATTGCTTATCTTATTTGGCTTCTCCTTCTTGATGTGTTCTAAAAAACTATTTGCACCAGTACCCAAATGAAGACTCGAGACAACAGTGTGAGTTTAACTAGTTTACTTACATTTACATGTAAAGATGGCTCTTGATGTCTATAAATTACACAACACTTTATATCTTCTATGTTGTGCTTCTGTTCCTGCCAATGACATCACTTCTGGGTGACGTCATTGCATCAGGGATGTTGTGCCTGGACGTGGCTTTTTGGGGTGGGGTTTCCCCCACTGGACAGCTGGACAGCAGTGGGCAGAAGTGGGGGAGCCCCTGCTGGGACCTGGGGACTGACCAACCCTAGACAGAGACAATGTGGTATCGTATACTAGATTCTGGGAGACCCAGGTTTGAATCCCCACTCTGCAGCGCAAGCTTGCTGGGCAGGCCTGTAGCCAGGATTTCTAAATTCAGGGCACCTTTAAATAAGTTGGGGGGCACCCTACACACTCCCAAGGAAGCACCACAAATAAAATGAAAAATTGGAAGTTGGGGGGCCTGGGCTGGATGTGAAGTCAGGGGGCCTTGGCAGGAAGTCAGGGGGGCATGCCCCAAGATGCCCCACAATAGCAACAGGCTTGTTGCTGGGTGACCTTGGGACAGTCAGACATCCTCAGCCAAACCTACCTCATAGGGCTATTTTGAGTACAATCCTAAACAGACTTACAGCTGTCTAAGCCCAGTGAAATCAGTACTCTTAGAAGGATATAACTGTACTTAGGACTGTCTTTGACACAAGAGTGGGCACCTTGTGACTTGTTAAGCTGCATGCAATTTCCCATCTAAGGACTGTAGCTTGCCAGACTGGTGATAAGCTTCCTATTTTTCTCAGTTTGCATGGGATTCCAGAAACAGGGACGGGGGCTTGTCAAGTACCTCTTCAGTCACAGCGCATGGCTGGGGTGCTTCATTCAGCATGGTGTCTCAAAGGTTATACAGACATGCCTCAAAAGATGGAAATGACTCTTGGAGCACTTCTAGGATGCCCAGCCTCCAGGTGGAGCCTGGTGATCTCCTGGAAATACAACTGATCTCCAGATGATAGAAGTCAGTTCCCCTGGAGAAAATGGCTGCTTTGGAGGGTGAACTCTATGGCATTATACCACATTGAAGTCCCTCCCCAGTCCACCCCCAAAATCTCTAGGAATTTCCCAGCCTAGATCTGGCAACCCTAAGTGCTCCTCCCCATGTAATAGCAGTTTCCTACCACTAAGGCTGAGCTGATGGGGCTATGGTTTTGCTTTTGTGTGTTGTCATTGTCAGCAGTTTTGACCTGCCTCATTTTGCTGCTGTCATTGTTGATTCTTTTAGTTTCTTTTAGGACTTTTTACAGTGCTTTATGGCATTTCATATGCCATATGTAGCATAATGTTCTTGCCACTTGTATGTTCACATCCTTTTTGCTTAATGAATGTTCGATTTATATATGATTTTGATGGAAACGGTTTGGTGCAGAGAAACAAAATCACACCAAGATAAAGATAATGGATTCCTTTTCACAAGGGAGAAATGAGATTTTTTAAAATGTACATTCAAATTGAACCTGCGACCTTATGACATTTGATCTCATCCCAGCCGACCACTCTTAGCTAGAAAAGACCTCTGTTATATGGATGGTGGCTTTCTGTTCTTTGTCAGAGGTGCAGAGAAGGTAGGGCTGCCAACCTCCAGGAGGAAGCTTGAGATCTCCCAGGAATAAAACTGATCTCCAGTTGACAGAGATCAGTTCCCCTGGAGAAAGTGGCTGCTTTGGAGGGTGGACTCTCTGAAATTATGCCCCACTGGGGCCTCTCCTCTTTCCTTCTTAGGCTCCAGCCCCAAGATCTGCAGGTATTTCCCAAGTAGGAGGTGACAATCCTAGGAGGAGGAGAAGTAGTATCCACTGCCTCTCAGTAGCTCATTGCCACTATGTCCCTGGGGGAAGCCCATGAGGGAAGGGCCTGAAAAGGACTCACAGAAGCCCCTTACCAGATCCCACAAAAACCTGGAACATCCCCTGTCTTCACACATGTTATTACAATGCAACTATTCTCTTGTGATGTAGATTACCTAGTGCAGCAGGAGTGTGGCAGGAAGGCAATTGTGTACGTGGTCCTCTTTTGCGTTCTGAGAGTTTACGGCTGCATGAGTAAAAATTCTGATCTCAGTAGTGGGCTGTAACAGACATACGGCAGCTCCCAAGCGGAGAAATTTAAAGCTGCCTCCAAGCTGTGGCCATTTTGTGTGCACTACTCCAAGGGGTCTGTTGTTGTATGAGAAATTAGTATGTGAGAAACAATACCTAAACAGAGCTGGCGAAGTGAATGTCTCCAGTTTTTCCAAAATGAAGATGAACAGCTAGGTCTAAAAATGTGTAATGTAGTTTCAATAGC